TTGATGACCCTTAATATTGGCCTAGTTAACTTCTTTTATCTGTCATATCAGGGCAAGGACGACCATTACATACCATACGCCGCGTTGTCTAACACAATACTTATTTTATTATAGAACACAAACATTCTACCTTGTTTCTATATAAAGGCATATTTTTCATGTGGATGTATTTATGGAGAAGCAAAACGCAACCCAATTTAGTACAAGTTTAATGCTTACATAAGGCAGGATCCAGAAATAGGCATAGACGGTTTATTCATTATTTAAACTTATTAAAACTTGGAGTTTCCGGCTCTACAAAGGATTAATTTTAGTGAAAGTCCTTATCTCTGAAGTCATTTGGATAAAAAAATTGGTCCAAATTTGGCACAGTTAAGTTCTTTACTATTATGATATAATTTTTAGCTGAACTTCAGTTTTCGTTACATGGGAAGGGGTTCAAAAATTGCTCCAGCGGGTCCAAAATTTTCATACCAGTTTAAAATGCCGAAATAATACTACTTTACTACTTTTCCTGAGAAATTTTTGAAATTACAACTTCTTCCATATAATGATTTTTTAGAATAGGGCGATATATGACGAGTGGTTGAAAAAGTGAATCGATTCGAACCTTTTCCAATAGCGTTTGTCTTGTCATTCATCGGTAAAAACTTTGCAAAATTATCTTTGGTAAATTTTGAATTTCGTTTTAGAAATCTATCTGAAATATATGCATGGCATTTGCCCAAGTCCATAGTTAAACGCTATTCTTCATTGTTACGTGCTTTCCCAAACATATTTGGACGTACAGGTTGATGAGGACATATTTAATGTATTTCTGAAGTCATTTGAATCTGAATCTGGGATGCTGGTATCACTTTCTGCACACTCCGCACTCAAAACTTTAAAAAAAATTATTGGCATACAAACAGGTATCACGGGTCTTAAGTTCTTTTACAAGGCGTTCATTGCCGATGAATGTCACCATATTGAATTTGTGCTGAAGGTAAGATAAGATTCCAACTTTTTAATAAAGTAAATAATTAATTCACGTACATAATTACCTCATTGTATCGCAATACAACTGCATAAAAAATACGAAACCTCAATTACTGTGGTCGGATTTATCAGCTAAAGGAGTTACATAGGTGAGACTAGTTAAATTTTCAATCTTTGGCAAATAATAAGTGGTTAAGGGACCGTTGCTATAACGACTAAATGTTGAAGTGGAATTAAAATGCTGCAACCATCCGAGGGTATTCTGCGTAAGGAAAGGAAACCCCTTTTCACAGGTAACCCCATTCCCTTCACAGTTTTCCGCACCACCTTGAAGTACCACGAGATAGACGCGTTGGCAACTGTTTTAAATAGCTGGCATCCACTGTAGGCCTACGGCATTGATACTTTAAAATTATAATAATATTTACAATAATAATATATATAGTAACAATAATAAATAAAACCTGGCGCAATTTTTTTTTTTTTTTACAACAATAATATTATTATATTGTTATAAATAGAGCAGCATATATATTTTGAGGAGGTAGCGCGTTTCCAGATCGTTGAACGCTACTCCATCTTGGTCGAAGGGTTCAAATTGTTCTTCGACCTGGTCTCCAAGTTCCTAATCGTCCTCGGTTTTGAATCCGCTTGTCCATTGCAGCGATTTCCACTGACGACTCGTCCTGCTATTGGCCAAAAACATTTCCAACAGATCTGGGCTTACCCTGAGCTCCTCCGGTAGCTCGGCAAAGTTCTCTCGGAAAAATTTGTCAAGTGTCAATCCCTACACGGTTTGTCTTAAAATGCTCCTCAAAAAATCTGCTGCACTCTTCTTTTTTACCTTTCAGCTCCGTCCATTAACGTAACGAGTAACTATTGCACTTACGAAGCAAGTGGTTTGTGCCGTTTCCACCTCGTCTTCTTCACTAAAAAATTGACATATACCTGCAATATCCACAGTGTGCATTAGTGCCGACTGCGTTCTCTCCTCGGTCACAAGATGTGGTCGGCCTTCGTCGCGTCCGCCAATTCGGTGAAAGTCTTGTGGCTGTAGTTGCTGGCATTATTCCTCATCTTGCTTTGGAACGCTACCAATATATGCGCGTATTCGTGGAGAAGCCTTATTTTGTAACTCTTCCCAAATTTTTGCTGGCGTTTCAGTCAAATACCACTGCTTTCACGTCTAGGCCATCGAAGACTTCTTTGTGCGACGTTAATGGATAATAACTTAAGAGAAACTTGAACGCGGTCAACAGATTTCGCGCTGCCACGAGGACTGTTCGGTAATCGTTCGCGCTGCTGTTGCTGTATTTACGTTCAGCTATTCTATCCTCCGAAGAGTTGAAATGAGCCATACCATTGGTGTACACTTCACCGAAATGTATCTGCACTACTCTATCGTGGCCGCTTACCTTCTCCACGGCTTTCTTCAACTTTACCTTGCGGTTAGTACCATGTTAGTTTAAGTTTAAATTTGCAGTGGTTGAGCTGCTTGCTGTTGTTGTTGATTTTTGAAGCGCGTGTCCCCGACTTTTAACGCCTTAATTTATTCTCTAAGGCGGTCATTTTGCTACTGCCATGCTGTATTCTCCAATGAATTCGAAGTTGAGGTGCCTAATACTTTTAATGTACCTAATGCAGGTCTCTCTACTTCTTCTAATTCTGTTCTACCTAATACTTTTGCATCGACCACTTCTTCTAATTCTATTCTACCTAATTCTTCCGTATGAAGCACTTCTTATAATTCTATTCTACCTATTTCATCTATTTCTTCATCGACAAGTCCTAAAAAACTAAGTAAATTCATTTCGTCCTCATCAAAAAGAGAAATGTCCCCGTTTCATCTTTAATGAAGTGCTTCTTGGTTTTTCACGTCACATGCATCAAACCCATTTAATATCACAAAGTTCTCCTTCGCTGTGGCAGCAATAACCGGAATGTTAATTTTTGTATTTATCTTCACTTACAGCTGGTTCCATGATAATTTGTTACGCTTGTACGCTGACGTCCCGTCTCCATGTGGCGGGGTTTTTCTTTAAGGTTTCAGCAGATGTTGTATTCGGTATGTACGACGTCAATAAAAATACTTATATTATATTATTATAATAACAATAAGATATATAACAAAAATATATAATTAGTTAATAGTGAACATGAAAAACGGAATAGACCAATAATCAACTTTGTATACAATTTAAGGAGTTAGTCCCAAATTCCTCACACTTCTAAAAAATTTCATCTGTAACGAGTGAGACCTACCCACCATTAAATAACTGTGAAGTTAAATTGTTAAGGTTTGTACTTGCTGCCAAGAATCGTCCAACATGAGCTTGTCCATCATGGTCAGTTGATTAGTTTCGTTCTCTAAGTTAACCCGCAAGAATAGGTCAATAGGAGAATGGCTTCTTTCTATTACAACTTTACCTGACCGCACAGATCTTTAATTAGTTAGCAAAAGTTGAGTTAACTTGACTGAGATATTGCCCGTACTCTGAGCCTTCCGGCCGCCGCTTCCTAAACCACTTGGTTTAAAACATTAAATTCGGCGTGTGATTGATGAAAAGTAAATGATGAACGTTGTTTGGGAGCCGACAGTTCCTACATACAGGCTGTTTGCATTACTAAAGATGATATTTATGTGTAACTTCCACAAATTATCGACCGACGTCTTATCTTTTGACATATTACGCGAGTTTTTAGGCCCAGGCCAAACCGATTTGTACAATGTAGTCGGTCATCAATTAAGCGAACGTGCGCACACTTCCAAACTTACTTGTCAATTACGACGATCCTAAAGAATTCAACAACATGTCGTAGCGACAAACAGACAAGATAAAATCTTACGTTGACAAACGAAAGCTGTTTGCTCTGTAATGTCTTATAACATTCGTAAATGTAACGAAAGGAAGAAGAAATTTAGTATAGGTGTTGGGTACATAGGGGTCATTTACTCATAATAAGATTAACACGATCTTTATTCTTAACATGCCGTTAATTGTCATCTTTACATATAAATCAGTTTTTCATTCATATATATATATATATATATATATATATCACACATATATATGATGTATGTATATATATGCAAGCAGTAGAAATGATTAAAGATAAGCCCATAATTATATCCTCAACAACATTTCACTTATCATTTCCAAGTGACAATCGCAAAACTAACCAAAAATATTCAACAAATTTATTTAAAAAAAAAAAAAATATTCTTTTTAAATACAAACTTATTAAAGGAGATAAAACAAATGTTACAGTCGCATATTTTAACGCTTCAACCACACCAACAATCTATTGCAACTAGTCGGCCGTATATGTCGTCGTCGTCTAATATTGCAATTATTACTGACAGGGGTAAGGGCAATGATGGTGATGGCGTTCTTAATGTCCCGCCAGCATCACCTGCCCCGTCTATATCATTAACATTACCATCGCCAGTTTTAACAAAATCGACACCAGGCAAACTTTTGGTTGATAATCAAGGCATCATACGGCAGACGGCATTATCATCGGGAGTAGTTGCAATTACAAGTACGCCGGGAGCAGAAACCTCAGCGAGTGTCGTTGGGCCACCGTCTGTGAGCTATTCAGCTCCTAATAGTAATGTGGTAGTTAAGACGCCTTCTCCGACTTTGCTGCAACATCATCACGCTCAGCAAAGTAATCAAAGCACCGTTACAATCCCAACTTTGCTAAATGCTATCACAAGTGCAACGGCAGTTTCCGTTAAGACATCAACACCGTCAGCAACGGCAACACTTTTACCGAATAATTCACAAAATGTAAGCTAAGATTGAATTGAATATAAGAATAGAACACAAAAAAAAAGAAGGAAAGCGAATGCTTATGCAGCTTATTTAGGCATTGATTGTACGAAACGAAGTCGCCGCCGAAGCTATTTATATCTTTTTCTATCCAATCATTTTGTGTCATTCGTAGTTTCCTAACTGTGTCTTTTGCTTTCGACTCTTTACAGTTGGGAAAATACTTAGTGGTGACCAATTTCTTGCAAAGCGCTCCTCCTAATCATGGCTGTCAAGTTCAACCGTATAGTTTGAGTTCAGCCGTTAGTCAAGCCGCTATATCCTCTTTAATGCCTACAATATCAACTGCGAGAGCGGGCAGCGATACAGCAGTTGTAACTACAAAAACGGAAGCCTCCTCAAATAATAGCAATTGTGCCGAAACGTTGCAAGTTCATCAAACACAGATGTTAGCGAACGCACCTTTGGGAGGCCCACAACAACAATTGCCAAATGGGACCATAATTGCAACCCAACAGCAACAACAGCAACGTCATTCTGCAGAGCAGCAACAATCACAGATGCATATTCACGGTAACATTTTTAAGCTTCCCTAAATCAGTCAGCCACCAATTTTTGGCACCTAAGAGCATCAGTTCGAGCAAATATTGTATAAATTAACAATTTAACAGATTTTTATTTTCTTTTCTAATTTGTTAAGCTTTGAATTCGAACGATAACGACAGTCGTCAGCGACAACAGCAACAGCAGCAGCATGCAGCTCAGCAACAGCAGCAACAGCAAGTGGCCTTGCTACAACAAGAGAACATTAAAGATGAAAAACCGTTTATTTCAAATGGTAAGATAACAGTAGTACCCACAAATCAGCATCAGCAGCAACAACAACAAATAATAATGCAGCATATATCGACCTCGTCAGCCATAACACCAGTGGCCGCTTCGTCCACCATCACCTTGGGTGCACCGAAAACTGAAATCAAAGAAGATAACAACAGCGGGGTGGTTGGCGGTAAAAGCTACACGGGCATCGAAATGTATAAAGTGAATATCGAAGACATTTCCCAGTTATTTACTTATCATGAAGTATTTGGCAAAATGCAGGCAGATGTCAATTTGTCGGCAACTGCTCATTCTATACCAAGCTCTATTGCTGGCACTAGCAACGCCTTGCCGAATGAAAGTAATAACAGCAGTGCAACGCCTGCGAGTAATGCGACTGCAGTAACAGCGACAGCTACAATCTCAACTTCAGGAACAGCCGCCAATACCATAGCAGGCGTGATACCTACCACTAGTTCCGCTCTACGCACCACTAATACCGATACGGCTGTGACCACCGTGCCTACATATGCATGCACAACTGGTCTAATTAAACTCAAAATGGAAGGTGGGGTTAGTGGTGGGGAGGAAAACTCTCAGACGGCTCTTGTGGCCGCCGACAATACGCTTGTTCCCACCGGCCATCACGTCTGTGATATATGTGGTAAAATCTTTTCGTTTCGTTATCAGTTAATTGTGCATCGTCGCTATCACAGTGAACGCAAGCCTTTCAATTGCCAGGTTTGTGGTCAAGGCTTTAACTCTTCCGAAGATCTTACCAGTCATGGTAAGATACATATCGGTTGCTCCATGTTCACATGCATGGTATGTTTTAATGTATTTGCAAATAATGCTTCCTTGGAACGTCATATGAAACGGCATTCTACCGATAAGCCGTTTGCTTGTACGGTTTGCCAGAAAACATTCGCCCGGAAGGAACATCTGGATAACCATTTTCGCGCACATACTGGCGAAACCCCGTTCCGTTGTCAATTTTGTGCCAAAACGTTTACGCGTAAAGAACACATGGTCAATCACGTACGCAAGCATACTGGCGATACACCACATCGTTGCGATATTTGCAAAAAAACTTTTACGCGTAAAGAACACTATGTCAATCATTACATGTGGCATACGGGTAAGTAAACTTTTAGAAAAATTGGTGCCTATGTTTACGTTTTCATAAACAGGGCAAACACCTCATCAATGCGAGTACTGTGGCAAAAAATATACGCGCAAAGAGCACTTGGCAAATCATATGCGTTCGCACACCAATGATACGCCGTTTCGTTGCGAAATTTGCGGTAAAAGTTTTGGTCGCAAAGAACACTTCACCAACCATATTCTTTGGCACACAGGTGTGTATATTTAATTGGGATTTTGAACTCTTTGATTACAATTTTTCATTTTTTTTTTAGGCGAAACACCCCATCGATGTGATTTTTGTTCGAAGACGTTTACGCGTAAGGAACATCTTTTGAATCATGTACGGCAACATACCGGCGAATCGCCGCATCGTTGTTCGTACTGTTCAAAGACGTTTACGCGCAAAGAACATCTGGTCAACCATATACGTCAACATACCGGCGAAACGCCATTTAAGTGCACTTACTGCACCAAAGCTTTTACGCGCAAAGATCATATGATTAATCATGTACGCCAGCATACGGGTGAGTCACCGCACAAGTGCACATTCTGCACGAAAACGTTTACGCGCAAGGAACACCTAACTAATCATGTCCGTCAACATACTGGTGAGTCGCCGCATCGCTGTACTGTTTGCAAGAAGACCTTCACGCGCAAGGAGCATCTTACTAACCACGTGCGCTTACATACGGGCGATTCGCCTCACAAATGCGAGTACTGTCAGAAAACCTTTACACGAAAAGAGCACTTGAACAATCACATGCGTCAACATTCGGGGGATAATCCGCACTGCTGTAATGTCTGCAACAAGCCATTTACACGTAAGGAACATTTAATAAATCACATGTCTCGTTGCCATACAGGTGATCGTCCATTCACTTGTGAAACTTGTGGTAAATCATTTCCGCTCAAGGGTAATCTATTGTTCCATCAGCGTAGCCACATGAAGGGCCAGGAAATGGAACGTCCATTCTCGTGTGAAAAATGTTCGAAGAAGTTCATATGCAAAGGTGAAATAAACGTGAACAAATATTTTGGACATTTTAATTGTCTCCTCATTCCATTCCTTTCTACCCAATTTCTCATTTAACTAGGTCATCTGGTATCCCATATGCGTTCGCATTCGGGGGAAAAACCACATGCTTGCACGCTTTGCAGTAAAGCCTTTGTGGAACGCGGCAACCTAAAACGTCACATGAAAATGAATCATCCAAATGCTCCAATGCCTCCGCCACCGGTTCCGCATCCTATAATACCAGCTGGAGTGTTGGCCACAGTCAAGCAAGAAATTAAACCAGTTATAAGCGAGCTGAGTAAGTATACCGAGAGATTTTATGCAATTTTCTGCCACTGTCAAGTGTCAAAGATTTGTTGAACGACAAAAGCGTAATAATAACTGTATTGCACTGACTTTATTCTGAATTTCAATTGGAATATGTACAACGCCTCTCAACAATTTATATACTTTATAAGATTTCGTTAGAGAGTCAACCAATGTAAAAAGTATTCCCTTTTGGAATCATTACGACTTTATATATCATTAGATAAGTTCACGACGGATTGAAAGATTGACATAAACTTTCGAAAAGTTTTTTTAGTAAATCGCTCTCAAAAAGTCTCTCTAGTAAGTACGCTTTCCAACTGTAAAGGTCATAATTATTTGAAATCGTCAATTCAATCGCGAATCTAGAAATCTTTCTGCTTTTTAGCGCATTAGGCCGATCTGTTTTCCATCGGGGCGAGTAAATGCGAAGGGTATGGACTTTAAAATAGGGAAAAATTTAAAATTAGTATGAGCAGATCGTCTTAGTGCAGATATCAATCATCCAAAATTGTTTTTAGTTCCACATCAGGGCAGTGCAACACCTACAATGCATACTATCCAGCAGATAACTGCAGGCGCAGCAGCAACGGCGGCCGCAAATACCGTGCAATTGCCTCCTAGTTTGGTGCCTTTGGTTACCTCGACAATTACGTCGCACAATAGTCAGAAACAGCAGCAGCAACAGCAACAACATCAAATACAGCAACAGCAGCAACAGGCAACTGCAACACATCAACAAGCCAGCTTGGTAGCGGCGGCTACAGCTCATCAACAACAAGTGCAACAACAGCAGCAACAACAGCAGCAACATCAGCAGTTATTACAACTTTCCATACAGCAGGCGGCCGCTCATCATCAATTACAGCAACATCAGCAACAGCAGCAGCAGCAGCAGCAAGAACAGCGTCAGCATCAGCAAACGCAGCAACAGCAGGCGACCCATCATCAACAGCAAGCTCAAGCTCAGTCAAGCGTAGTGACTACGGCTACGTCGCATCAAACTCAGCAACAACAGCCGCAACAACAAAATCCTCAACAATCACAAGTCCAACAGCAGCAACAACAGCAACCTCCACCACCACCACAAGTGCCAATTGCTTTAATACAAACGGATCCAGAAGCTTTGGCTCGAGCTGCTATGCAGCAACTGCAACACATACCAGCTAACGTTGAGCAACATCCCGTTGTTTACTAACATTTTAATGACTGGTAAGCGCAAAACTATACCCCAATGCGGAAATAGTAGTACGATTTTAAAAATCATCTAACTTAAGAGATAATAGAATAACACAAAAATTAAGGTAACATTTAAAATGTATGAGAAAAGGAGGCAAAAAGTTATCGACTTAGAAAAGCTTGAAAATGTTAATTGAAATTAGTAATCGGGATATGGAACTGAAAATGAACGAACTACTAAACATACTTTTCGAATGTTCGAATGGGTCATCGACGGTTGATTTAATGAGAAATCCACTTGATCCGTAATGGCGGCGTCTTGCTTACTGCGAACATAGTATGAACATCATAACTAAGCCATTCAGCGTTTACATCCGCCATTTTCAATTGTTGCGAACATGGAAACATGTCTTAGATGTTATCTTCAATTTACATTATTACATAATTATTTGTAATTGTAACTGATTTGTTTTGTTTCTAAGTATGTAATTTTTAAAAGTTTTAATAATTTTTTTTTTTTATTTTACAATCAAAATTATAAATATGTTACTTTTTATTTTTTAACTTAAAAAACGATATAAAGTTTTTTTTTTGTTTTTTAAATATTTTTTCAAGTTAATCATTTGTGTTCTTATCCTTGTCATTGTAAGGTTTAAGATTTCATTATGAATGTAAAGTGCAATAATTTAAATGTGGTTTCAATTAGTTTTTGGTAATAAAAACGAACTATGCTCGAAGCACTTAGAGTAGCTCAGCTACTCCAAAAAGAAAATATATATGTTGGCATTTAGAAAGGGCCCCTAAATAATCAAAAAAAAAAAAAAAAAAAAAAAATTAATAATAATTTTAAAATAAATAATTTTTTTTTTAATTTTATGTTCCCATTTTTAATTTCTCCTAAGGGAAAGGACACAAATGATTAGCATTTAAGAACTAATTAATTATATCTTGTACATTAGACGCGTCTTCTAAGAATCCAATTAAATAATTAAATATCATTGAGTAAATATTTACAACAATTAAAATATATTGAAATCCTCTCTCTGCAGATTTTTTTCCGTTAGTATTAACAATAGTTTTTATATGTAATTAATTTGTTTTTATAAAAATCTGTTTATAGGCGTGAAAAAGAAACACATGAGCGTATGTTAAAAATATTATTTTTTGAAACTCGTTACTGCACGTCTTAGAAGGTATATTAAGTTTATAACACTAAGAAATATGCATCGCATAATATACATATATATATAATTTTATCAGATGAAATACACTTTCATTAATATTGATTAATGCGCTAATTATCGTTTTAAAGTAGACTTGATTTTACAATTCAATCTCACACATGCAGCTATAGTTAGCGACCAGCAAACAAATTGCAATTGCTTTAGGGGAAATCTTAAGTATCCGTTATTTTGGCAACTGTACATTTTTTTGATAATGTTGGTGATTAGTGAAGATCAATTTCGCTCCAAGCCTTTGAAAAACCGGACGATTACATTAAACATATATAATAAATTTTAAATCAATATCTTCCGTAGTTTTTAAGTAAGTGACAAATTTTGCTTTTTCGTCTTTTTTCTGAGTTTTGGAACAAGTATAGATGTGTTTCTTTTCGAGACTGCTCTGTGATCATCGTATCTTAAGTTTCAAACCGTTATCTCAGTATTCGCAACTACCAGCAGTAGAAAACGAACATAAATAATTCTAGCCAAGATTTTAGATATAAAAAGAAAAAGGCTTCATAAGTCTTCGGTGTGCATTTCTAAACATCTGAAAACTAGATATCAGTCTCTAATGCTATATATGCAATAATAATATTTTTACTATGCTACTAGGTACGCTTATCGGATATGTTAGGTTGACTAAATTCTCCTTCAGATATGTTACGATACGTGAAGACATGTGCGCGTGCATGTTACATAGCGTTTGATATTTGTTGCTTACATGTAATATTGTAGATATGTGTGTGTGCGTGTATGCAGCTAAACAATAGATTGTCTATGTTCACGTAACATAGACACGATCATCCTATTTTTAATCAGATATATTACGTAGTCCAAAAAATTTTTCGAATCTTTAACGAGTAGATAAAGGAGAAAACTAGTTATGCCGATATATAAATATTCGTGGACATGAATCGGATTATTATTTCATCTCATCTTATATCTTCATAAGAGTAATAAAGAGGACGGTATACGTTTATTTTTAAATTAATGTTAAGAATATATATATATATATATATATATATATATATATGTGTCTATATGCATGTATATATATATATATATATGTATATTTATGTATATATACATGTATATGCTGCTGCATATTTCAAAAGAAAAATCTTTCAACGCTATATATATGTCTATGTGAAAATTATAAATTTCGTCAAATGATAAATTTTTTCTTCTCCACCCTTTCGTTATTTTAATAATTTTTTTTCACTTTCATTTAGTATATAGTTTTGTGAGCACAGGCGAATTAGATATATATCATATATATATATATATATATATATATGTATATATATATTTATTTAAGTATAATATATATAAAAACGTACATTATTAATCCATAAAAACAAAGTATGTATAAAAATAGATAATAACAAGAAAACTTGAATTTTTTTTGCCACCGCAAATATTTTGTTTAGAAGCGATTTCTAAATATAGGTATCTTCTTGCGTCCATTTCGGCAAAATCAACAAATCTTTGCCGTATGTTTCTTCTTCGTAACGAAATTCAATGGATATTTTGCCCGTACTTGCTGAATATCGATTTGGCCATTCCGCAGCTAGGTAGGTAGCTTGGTAGGGAATTCCTAATTTTCCGTTGTAAAACGTTAGCAAATCAATACGCGTACATCAGGACAACTCCCAAATAATCGGAAATTATGTTCCGAGTATAGTGATTTTCGATAAATGCGCCCATAATTCGTGCACACTGCCTACGCCGACCGTACTTGCTCGAACTGGCGTATATATATATATATATGTCTAACTATAAACCGTCATCAACGTCGCCATATTCAGCCATAGTGATTTATCGTCGCGGGAAAATTATGAAATGTCTACATCATGTACGCTAAAGCAATGAACGTATTCGAATAATTTCCAAACATTGTTTAATCGTGTATTATTTTTTAACTATATGACCGATCGTAAGATCTTTTGAAAACCCAAGAGAAGCTAGAATATATCTCAGTACAGTACCTCAAAAGCGATGAGCAGGAATGGTTCGAACTTATGACACGCAGTCGAAGTTTCATTAATAGCTTATCAACAGATATTAAGTTCAAATCATATGCATATTCCTTAAGAGGAATACTTGGCATGCTCAGCCTCCTCAGCCTCGTGGTGAATCTATTAGACTCATTGCATCCCGTAAACAGAATCGTGTGAGCGCGTCGCGTGCCGTTTATGAAGCAACAAATTTTACGAAAGGATCGTGTATATAAATTTTAAGTATTAAAGGAATAGACGAGATTGACTTGATTTCAGAATTTTATCAACTCCAAAATGCTCTAATTAAATATACTTTTGACGTCATTCTCGATGTTAGACAACAGACTATTGGAGGAATAATGTCTGCACTTGGAAGCAGGCAAACAGTATGAGCGACTGTTACGATTCGTGTTGCGATTATGGATGCAGAGAGAAGGTTGCATTCAAAAAATTTCATCAATCTTTTCAAGTTGTTTGAATACTTCCAGAGATAAGGAAATTGAGATATATACTAATCGCAGATAACGCGGCACCCCTTTAGGTTTGCAAAATCCCACTCCTACGATTTACAGGGTACTTTTGCAGGTTAGAGCGAATAGTTCTGCTATAAGTTACAATTTTTCGTAGCGCAAACATCAAAATTGAATATTAGTCGCGAAAAGTTCGCAATATAAAATCTTTCACAAGAGGAGCAAAGTTTTCAGCACATCAAAGCTCGATTATATATTGCTAAGTCCGTTAAGAAATCGTTTCAGTTGTTTGAGCTTGCCGCTTGTCATTTCTTCAGTTAAAAATAGAACGACTTGGCTGATAATCGCTTCAATTCTCTCGATTCACTTTTCGCTCAAGGAGACTTACTGCGCGAAAAAGTGAGAAAAAGTTTTCGCTGACAATGAGCATCATTTTCCAATGAAAGCTGGAAGATAATGTAATAGCATTTTATTCGCACTAATGTATTAAGGCAACTGCGTTCGTCCTTGTGTCAAAACAAATCGGTGCACCCATTTTCATCAAAATATGTTTAAAATTGGGCCATTTTTCTGCCTTCGAAATACGCTGACTTTTCTTTTTAATTTAACATTGACCTGACTTCAGAATTTCGCTTACTACTTCGAATGGTTTAGTTAATAGCTAAAGGTTGCAGTCAATCTTCTGGAACTAAGTCCAGACAGTACGTAGCTGGCTGCCATTACATCTTTCCCTGCCTTCCACACATATTACAGTATAATGGCTCCACCATTCACCAATCGCGAAGAATCAGCGAATACCGAAAGCTCACTACTGTACTAGATATATTGGTCGTAGCGCCAGCAAGTCTTACAAATTCTTTTAAACATATAAGAAGACGAAAAGTATTTCCATACATGATGTTTACAGCGATGCAAATCCGTTAAGTAAATTTCGAAATAAATATATTCTTAAGCTAGCGATTCTGATAGCTATTAGAATCAAACTTCTTCGTAATACAACATAAAGTATTATTCCTTTATAAAAAGCTTACAAATAAAATATTTTTAAAACTGGCCAAGTTTTATATGGTACTGTAACAACCATTGCTTGTAAATTTTAGTCTGATCATATAACTCTCTTTGATTCGCTTACAATAAGAAAATTTACGAATACATCTTTTTCAACTGGTCATCAACGGGTGCATCTTTGATTCGCATTGCATGCATATGGTACTTAATCGCTTGGTCGTCATGTTCCCTAGCTCATCTTCTCCTAGTCTTTATATGTGATTACAAAATATATCGACTTGCGACTTTAAATAACTGAAAATTTTCCTTCTTAAGATTATTGGTTCAAATCAAAAAAAGTTAACATATGATGAGGTTCTCAATACGTTACGTTACCGTAAATGTCAAAAAGGACTTTTATAGGCATCGTAGCTTAATGTTTTTCTATTTGTTTTCCTATAAAGGAAAGTAGGTGGGTAGCTCCCAGAGACCCGTGAAAATATGCATGTTTTTGTTCGTCGTTGCTTTAGTCCATATGCCATTATCTGATCCCAAAGAAGTACTAGAAGTACTGGAAAAGTTGTGGAGAACATGAAAAGCTTGTTGCTAACCATTTATCACAGTCGGAATCTAAAAAGTAAAAAACGCAAAAATTGTAGGCTGGTAACTGATAAACTATAGCTTTAGTAAACATCGGACTGATATTTTCATAAAAATAACTTTTCGGGAGGCGAGCTCAACTAGCTTGCAACTAAAAAAAGAAAACATTTCCGGATTGTACAAATTTTTAACACACTGCTTAGCGCGATAAATGTTTGCAGAGGAAAAG